TAAATAATAGAAGGATGGATCTTTGTTACTAAGAGGGATAGTTTATTGGAGCACAAAATGACTTTGAAACAATACAGTTATATTTTCAAATTTTTCTCAACAAGGACAATAATTATGTTCTTGTTCACCTTGAGACCATATACAACTCTCCCCTCAACTATTCCAATAAACTTTACCTCTATAACAAATTATTTTCAAATCAAAATAAATGAAAAAGATCCTCAATTTTAGTCAACAAGTCCACTTGCAATACAATGATCTAGAAATGGCATGTTTCAGACACCTCCAAATATAGCAGAATATTAAAACATGAACGTCTTTTGGATAAGGGAATTCATGATTATAAATGGAGATTTCCATCACTGTTTTGTTGCAAATCAAATGAACATGTGCCGAGTTTTCCATTTCTATGAACCTTATTAAGAAGATCCCTGGGATGTTAACTCTTTAGATTCTCCATAAGGTACTGGGGACACTGATCAGCTACTCATTTGCAACAAAGAAACAAACAAGATGAAAGAAAGAAAACCAGAATAATTTACACTGAAGGAATCTATTTTTTTTTAAATAAAAGCTTACGTGGATCCTCAGTATATAAAATATATAACTGGGGACTAGAGCCTGAAGCCCAAAGCTCTTACCATAGACCTTCTCCTGGCCCCTCAGCAGCTGCTGGGATGCTCCACAGAACCACAGGCAGGCCCAGGTAATAGTCTGAAAACCTTTATTTCTATAGTAGCTAAGTGGAATGTTATTCCTGGAAAGGACCTTAGAATATATATAGTCCAGTGGTTTTCAAACATTTTATTTTCAGTTTTTTCCCCTCCAGGAAGCACAGTTTAAAAAACGAGTCCAATCTCATAATGTAGCTTGACAGGAAAGGAAACTGAGGCCTAGAGAAGCCCTGTGACTTCCCCATGATCACAGAGCCAACTGGTAACAGTAAAACAGCCAGAGTCAAAGTCTTCTGATCGGGTTCAGTGTGCTCTCTACTAATGGAATGGTTCTTGTCTCCACAACACTGTTCCAAACCTTAAGTTTACCGCCCCAGCCCCTTAAACCCCAATGTCACCTCCACCCTCTCAGTACAAAAAC